CCCACATGTACAAGTGGGTCGCCCGGTACGTCAAGACATGTGAAACATGTCAGCGGGTTAGACCCGCAGGGCACTCTTCGGCTCCACTACAGAGCCTGCCCGTACCAGCTGATTGTTGGAAGTCGATGAGTCTTGACTTCATCTTTGGGCTTCCCGCCGACGGACACGGCAACACCGGAATTTTGGTGTTCGTGTGTCGGCTGAGCAAAGATGGTACATCTTGCTCCAGTTCCCGTCACTGTGACGGGCGAACAAACCGCAAGGTTGTTCGTCGATGGCGTGTTCCGCTATCACGGTCTCCCGGAGACGATTGTCTCGGACCGAGACCCGCGGTTCACTGCTGCGTTTTGGAAAACGCTGTTCCCTTAACTGGGAACTCGTCTGCAGATGTCCACTGCGGATCATCCGCAGACAGACGGCCAAACAGAGCGCGTCAATCGAGTGCTCGAGGACACTCTGCGCAGTGTGTGCGCGGCAGCGCCACATACGTGGTCGACGCAGCTTCCAGTTGTTGAGTTTGCGCTCAACAACGCGGTGCACGCGTCCACGGGGTTCACGCCGTTCTACTTGAACGGCTTCCGCCACCCCAGAGTGCCTCTCACTCTTCGAGGAAACACTGACTCCTCTATTCTAAGTGGGGGAGAGGCTCGGAAAGCCCTTTCCTCCCAGGTCTCGGATGTGAGGCCAGTTTCGCTGCGGAAACAGGTGGAATCCTTTATGGATACCAAGCTGAACATTGTCAGCAGGGTCCGCGATGCCATGGCAGCGGCCCAAGATAAACAAAAGGAGTACTCGGACAAACAAGGAAGAGGAAACTTAAGTATATTTGAGATTGGTGACTTAGTGTTACTAGACACGAGGAACCTACCTCTAGACACTGTTAGCTCTGTCGGCAGCAACAAGCTGAAGCACCGCTTCATCGGACCTTTTGCAGTCCTGGCCAGACATGGTGCGTCGTACACCATCGACCTTCCAAAGTCAATGACGACGCACCCGACGTTCTATGTCGGACGTCTTAAGCGGTACTTTGACCCGCAGGGGGTTGCTGACTCGCAGACCCCCCTTGACCCAGCTCCTCGAAGCGAGGGCCGGTCACAGTCGTCGACGAGGGCGTCGGAGCAGGCACCCAAGCCTCGGTCGGGACGGCAAGGCTGCGGTCAAGACCGTACGCCGGAGGGGCTCCATACGAACGGACCCCGGCGCCATACGCCGAGTACGCTGAGTACGCCGGGTACGCACCATACGCGTACGTCTGGGAGTGTGCCGCAGGCGGCTCCGGACGTGGCAACAAAGCCTCGATCCGTCGGATCATGCGAAAGGCCTCGTCCAGATCGGACGAAGAGGCCCGGCGGTCCACCCGCAGGTGCAGGCTCGCGACCTCTCGCTCCACCAGGTCCAGGCGACCCGCAAGACGAGCGAGCTCGCCCTGATTCCCGGCCTGGGCGGCAGCATTACCGCCAGTCCCAAGGCCAAGTGCAATCTCAAGCACGAGGAGACGTTGACGGAGGCGGTCAACCTCAGGGTCCCGTGTCGGACCCGCAGTCGGAGCACTCGAACGAGAGTGGCTCTCGGGAGGCGCCGAGTACTCGTACTCGTACGAGGGCACCTCCGCCCCTGCTTGACCGGAATGGAGAAGTCCACTTCCACGTGGAGCGGATCCTCCAGGAGCAACGGTGTCGCGGGAAGCGACAGCTCCTCGTGAAGTGGAGGGGTTATGCCCACTCCGAGAACTCGTGGGAGCCGATTGAACGGCTCCTGATTGACTGCCCGAAGGCTGTCGCAATCTGGGAACAGAAGCGGCGGCAGCTTCATAAGTAGTCCGGGGCTTCTTGCCCGAACGGGGTACGGATGATGAATACATACCGTACCCGCGCTCATCGTGAGCGCTAGAAGCCGCGCGCTTCAGGATGTCCCTTGGCAGCATACGCTTGCTGATCAAGTGGGCAAACCTCACACGAAGATCACGCTGGTCCAGGATGTGGGACAGCTGCTGATCTTCATGGAGTTCCCATAACTCCGTGGGCGAGTACTTGAGAGTCTCCACCCACGCCCAGAACATGTCCTCACAAGAACTCCATGTGGGACAGTTCTCGGGCATAACCCAGGGGTATCCCCAAACAGGATAGAGACCACCCCGGGTCTCGGGCTTCTTACGACAAGTCGTGAAGTCCTTAAGGGGAATGCGGTGTGGCGCGAGAAGCACACACCGAGCAGCCTCCACGTTGTCGACGAACAACTGTTCTTTCTGAACAAGGGCTCGCTCATAGATGCCCCTAGAAGTGTGGCCGCCCACAAGGCCACGAGGAGCGACGAGAAGCTCTAAGAAGAGGTCAGCCCCAGAGCTCTCCTCGGGAGGCCAATACCCTCTTGAGTTGATGGCAGCTCCCTGGCTGACGGGTGCCGCCACCGAACCCCCACGCACACGCTGGGCAGCTTGGAAATCCTCCTGCTGCTGGTCGAGGTCATTCGAGACCTCCCGGGGCTCAACAATGGCACCCTCCTCTTCCTCTTCTTCCTCCTTCTCCTCCTCTTCATCCGAGGAGCCGAAGAGACTCTGATAGGAGCGTCGTGTGGTGTAGGGATTTCCAGATTCGACCATACGCCGACCTACTTTAGGTCAAGAATCGGCTCGGTCTGATAACCCAGAGCTTAGGAGCCAAGGATCACGGTAAGTACTCGGCGATCTGTCCGGATATGCTATCCGGATAGCCGCTGAGCTCAACGGCCGCCGGAACTCAGCTGAAGAGTCGGTAGAGATCCGAAACGACTACATTTCACTAGATATTTGTATGAGAAGCATAGGATTAAATAGGAGGAGCCGAAAAGGCTCCCAGAAGATAACAGAGCAGAATTTTCCTAGTCCAAGACACGTGTACACTTTTCCGGTAAGTCCCTGCATAGGGCTGGATTATGCCTGCCGTCAATACTCGAGAGGCATAGCTTGTAGAGTATTGACTGGTAGCGCCAAGAGATTAGGTCGGTCCGGGTAGGACAAAGTCTCGCTACGTGCGAAAGAAAGTCCCGCATACTCAGCGGGCCGGTACGTCGGATAGCCCGGGTGCCGTAACACTTCTAGCTGAGCAGCCTCTGCGCTCGGTGACCTGTAAAAGCGCTCGCGCGCCGTCGTCCATCCTTTGGTGGAGGGCACAGGGTTGTGAACGAGCTCAGCCGAACCAAACTCGGCGGAGTCTCGGAAGTGATTTGACTTGGTTAGTCGGAACCGAGTGGAAGCGAGCCACTCGTCTGTCCCGGAAGGGCCGGGCCGCGAGGGGACCACCCTCTGCGCAGGCCATACAAACCGCCGACCTAACTCGGCGATTCGTTGTGGTTTGTGTAAGGAATCCACATCTGACGATATTTGTGTGTTCTACTACACCACAGTCGAGTCTCCTTCTCCTCGCGGAGTGGAGACTTAGAGGCGGTACGCTTCTTTGAGGGCTTGGCGCCTTCGGCTTTAGAGGCCTTAGCGCGCGCAAGACCCTCGGCAAGCGAGAGACGTTTGCGAGGACTCCCTTCCTCATCGCCACCGGCTTTGGGAGTGCCCTTAGCCTTAACGGCCGGACTCTCAGAGCGCACAGAGGTCCTGGGACTGTGATCACCGTGATCACTAGCGGACGACTGCACGCTGTCTTCTTTGTGCTCACTGGGCACTGGGCTGTGCCCTCCCACAGAGCCCGCAGGAGCATCATGAGTGCTCTCGGACTCGGCATCGTCCTCACTGCCCGAGTTGAACTCACGTTCTACGAACCGAGGGTTCGGACGATTGTCTGAAGACGAGGGCGACGGACTGCGGCGCCTGCTTGCGCGCTTGTCCGCAGCCGCGTCACCCGAGGATCCGATCGCCTCGGAGGCCACCTGAGTAGCCTCCTTAAGTGCAGAGCCTTTGCCGTGAGGCTTAGTGCTCTTGGCCTGCGCCTTACCGGCTGCAGCCTTGGAGCGTGTCTTAGCACCGCTCTTAGCAGTGCCACGAGGCATGTTAACGGTCGAAGTGGAGACCTTGACGAAGAGCGCACAGGTTGCTGCTCGAGGCTCTAACTGTAAAGTGAGCCTCCGCCGCGCTCGCGCGGCCGAGTCGATGGTTTTCGACTTTGAGAATGAGAGTTTGTGACGAACATCTCTTCATTCTGATTGGTCGGTAAACCGAACCTAAGTGGGGGAGGATGTAACGGGGTACGTAGCACTAAGTGTACCCTGGTTACATGAAGTGTGACACTTCACACTTCAGGAGTATGACATGTCATACTCCGGAATATTTGGTACAAGGTACCAAGGTCATTCAAAACCAACCATTGGTTAAATGACATTACATTTCTATAGGTAACTGATAGTTTGTATTAACCACAAACTTAACCTACCTATAAATATACTCAGTTTACAATCTACCTTATTTAGGTCACTTCGCTCTCTTTAATTAAAGAGGGGACCTGTGAACTGCCGTTCACTGAGAGTTTGTATACTCTCGGAAAAAACTTCCTCTAGCGCAAGGTGCTGTGTGACCCCGTCACAGTAGGCCTCTATGCCATGGAGTCCATGGACCATGGACCCGCGCTTAACTCGAGCAAATGAAGACACGCTGCGCACAGGAAACAAAAGCCATGATTTGCTATGCAGCAGCGTGCTCGGCGTCGTGCAAACGCGCACTGGCCCTTCTACGTGTGAAAGTGTATACTGGCGGCTATTTTGTGGTGTCTACTGAGGCCGAATCTCATTCTATTGTGGGCTTTCACACCTCATCCCCCCGTCTGGCCGAGTACACCAAGGAGATTCTACAGGGCGCCAGCTATAAATCCAGCAATAAACACATTGTTGCTCACCTACGCGAAGAATTGCGAAGAATTCCAAGCTACATCTATCCACGAGGACGACAACCTCTTTCTTGCAACCACAAAACATTCTATTATTACGAATTTCGTTTTAAATAGCATATTTAACTTAACTTTTCAACCCATCTATGCTTTTTAACTGTCGCACAACATTTTCACGAATAACGCGTTGGCGGTATGTCTCCATCACCTTCTTTCGCTGCTATTGAAGCCTCTCGGGCGTCTTCATCCACGCCACCACCTTCTCCACCTGCTGTGTCTTCGCCCACGCTACTCGTTCATTCGACTCCACCACCTTCACCACCTTCAGAAGACGCAGTAGACGCTTCCGACGTCACTGACTTGTCCCCTTCGTCCGATAGTGGCGACGATTCCGACTACTCTCCGCATTCTAGCGACAAGAAGAAGAAACTCAGGACAATAAAGAAATCCACAGCCAAGAGACGACGCTTAGTACGTGGAGACGACCGCAACAACTGCGAAAAATTCAGCACAACGCTGGAATCAGGTGTAGACTCAGATGAGCAAACCACCGTCTCCACGCCTTCCAAGCAGAGATCAAAGCAAGAGAGGAAGGCCGCAGCTGCCACATGGGCAGACGACGGCAGTTTGGATCTCTACAGACGTCGACTGCACGAGCTACGTCGAGAAATTAGAGATTCCGTGGCGGAAAATAGGAAAACATTTTACAGTAATCCACGACCTGAAGACTTTGTCGAAGAAGAAGAGACGAAAACTGGAAAACACGATGGAGAAGACGAGAAAGTTGAGACAGGACCCAAGTTTTATTATCCGTGGGACGTCACGGAGACGGCGTCGGGCCTCTTAGTGTCGAGCTTCGTACTAACTCAGCTGTTGCCGCATCAACGAGAGTGTCTCGAGTGGCTACACAAGCTGCACGAACGTGGAGTTGGAGGCATCTTAGGAGACGATATGGGGCTAGGGAAAACAGTGCAACTGGCGTCATTTTTGGGCTCTCTACATGCAGCGAGAAGGCTGCGGACGGTGCTGTTATTATGTCCAGCGTCAGTATTGCTACAGTGGGTTCGAGAGCTACACAAATGGGCGCCATGGATGCGTGTGGTGCTGCTACATGCGTCTGGAACAGGAGTTAGTGCGTCGTCCTCGAGTGAGTGCTATGAACAGCTGATCGAGGACGTATTTCGCTTTGACGACGACGAAGAGGAGGATGTGGGCGATCCTGGATTACGGCAAGACTCACCCACAGGCGGAGGCGTTGTGATCAGCACGTACGAGAACGTCCGACAGTATCAGAGTTTGTTCTTAACGCGAGAGTGGGACTACGTGGTGCTGGACGAAGGACATCGCATCCGCAATCCTGACGCGGAGACGACGTTGGTCTGCAAGCAATTGCGCACTGTGCATCGCATTATCCTGTCGGGTACACCCATCCAGAACAGGCTCCGTGAGCTGTGGTCTTTGTTCGACTTTGTGTATCCAGGACGTCTAGGTACACTGCCAACTTTTGACGACGAGTTTGTACTGCCCATTCGAGCTGGAGGATACGCCACTGCCACGAAGATGCAAGTGCTGATGGCCTACAAGTGTGCGCTGGCGCTGAAAGATTTAATCCAGCCGTTTCTACTGCGACGTACCAAGCAAGAAGTGATGGCCACGGATGCGAACAGCAGTATGTTGCCTGGAAAGCAGGAGCAGATCCTTTTCTGTCGACTGACGCAGCGTCAACGTGCGTTGTACAAGCGGTTCTTAGCCTCGCCCGAAGTGGCGTCTGTACTGCGTCGAGACCTCCGTCCGTTCCGAGCCATCTCTGTGTTGCGACATATCTGCAACCATCCAGATCTGCTGGCTACGTTTGGGGACGGGGGATTGGCAGACAAGAAGAGACAAAGCTACTTCAAGGAGGAGGAGGAGGAGGAGGAGGGAGAAGAAGGCTTTACAAACGTTGCTGGTCTGCTCGATGAAGACAAAGAAGAAGGAGAAAGCGATGAACCATTCGGCGCTGCGTCAGCTAGTGGGAAGATGATTGTGTTGCAGAAGGTATTGACCCTCTGGAAGGAACAGAAGCATCGAGTGCTCGTCTTCACGCAGACTCGCAGTATGTTGGATATCCTAGAGAGCTTCATGTCCAGACTGGGCCACGCGTGCACTCGTCTCGATGGCACAACGGGAGTGGCAGAGCGACAGCAGCGACTCGACGCGTTCAATGCGCCCGACAGTAACCTCTTCGCCTTCCTCCTGACAACACGCGCTGGCGGGATCGGCGTCAACTTGGTGGGTGCCGATCGTGTTGTAGTGTTTGATCCGGACTGGAATCCCTCCACAGACGTACAAGCTCGAGAGCGGGCGTGGCGTATTGGCCAGCAGAAACCAGTCACGGTGTATCGCCTTGTGACTGCCGGAACGATCGAGGAGAAGATCTACCACCGGCAGATTTTCAAGCAGTATCTCACGAGTAAAGTTCTGCACGATGCCAAGCGCAAACGCTGTTTTAACAAGCATTCGTTGCGAGATCTGTTCGTGTTAGCTGACGAGAAAGAAGGGGAAGACGGCGTTGCAGAGACGACGGAGTTGTTTGTAGCTGGGAATGTCGATAGACCCGCGGGCTTGGAAGACGGCGAGGAAGGCGACGCAGGAGAAGACAGTAGAAATGACGCGGATGGAGACAATGACGCAGTGTTGAAGCAGCTGTTCGACGGTGGCGATGTGCGAGGTGTTTTTGACCATTCAGCTGTGGAATCTGATGGCGTTCAGAATCAAGAAGCAGAGCTAGTGGAGATGGAGGCAACCAAGATTGCGAAGGGAGCGCTGAGTGCACTACGAGCCTCTGGAGCTCTTGTGAGGCAGCAACGCGAAACTATCTACACTCCAACATGGACAGGGCGCTCTGGTGCTGCTGGAGATCCGTCTCAACGTCGACCGCAGCCTGCAGCGCGGGGCAGAGGTCGAGGAAGAGCAAGAAGTGGAGTCTCGTCACGCGACATGCTGGCAAGGATCAAGCAGAGACGAGATGGAGTCGCACAGCAGACGACTCGACGTCAGCCTCGAGCTGGAGCTTCATCTTCGGGGCCATCTCAGTCACCAGTGCCTGCTACGTTAAGTGCAAGTGAGATGACGAAGCGTTTGCACGCGGTTCTTGTGGCGAATCCGGCGGGCGTCACGACTGAGCGGCTTCTGGAGAGTTTTGCCAGCGTCATTGCTCCCAAGGACAAGCTCGTGTTTCGACATGTACTGCGTGATATGGCTGTGTGCCGAGGACGCCGATGGACACTGAAGGCGTCTTACTCGGTTTCGGAGGCTTCTTCTGCTTTTACAAACTCTACTGCAGCCACTGTGCGTCGTCGAGGGATTTGGTAAGCTTAAATGTTAAGGTTAAATTCGTTCTCTTAAACCTCAGTACCACATCAACTGTATTAATAGTGCCTAGGTACGCTGAAAGATTTTCTCAAACTGGGAAAGCTCGAAAGTGGCGCTTGGTATTCTGGGCCTCAAAATGTACCCATAATCATCTCGAATGATCGACCTGCACGCGGAAGAAATTCTAAGAATTAAGCTTGCAGCCAATAAGCAGCAGAGCTTTTTCCAACGCGTCAATAGCACTCATCGGCCTTCTTTTGAACACGAATTTCATACCTGGTATAATATGTGATCGATGGCGTTGCGAAAAGTGCTTACATTTTTTATACATCTATTGGTGAGTCCAACCATTGAGGTCAAATATCTGAGGGTTAAAAATCATACGATAGATAATGTCGGCGATATGCAGTTATCCAGTGGCTTCGAAAGGAAGGACCGCGACGGACGATGCAGCGACCCATGACCCTGTTAATGTTAGCACTGCGAAATGTGCAATAACACTAAAAACATTTTTTAAAAATTAAAAAGTATGTATTTTCTGTACAGTTGATACCCTAATAAGTCGTGCGACCTAAATACCAGCCGCGTTCTTAAACCTAAGTTTGGGAAGAGGGAACATTGTTGCTATTTTTTCTAAAATGGCATAAAACTGAGCAAGTTATCACCATCTCTTCTCAGACTCACATTGCAGATTCGGGTGGATTAGAAAAATATGTCGACTTGCTGTAGACTTATACTATGTCGGGTGCATTATTCTTGTTCTAATGGGTCTTCCTTAGGATTGCCTGGCAGTGCGTGCGGCTTGCTGCTTGGCGAGAAGTGCATCGCAATGTCGCGAAAATGACCGAAGCCTGCCAGAATAATTATACATATTGAGCTAAAATGACACATTAGACAGGAGTCGTACCAGAGCGGGTAGTAAGCTTGCAGCTCCGTAAAAGTGAGCGATCTTGCGGATAAATGCCATATAGCTACACCCAAATATTCATGAGATGAATTAAACCACTCAGCAGCAACACACGTCGCACCAGTTGTTCACGACCAGCCCACATGCGCTAGCGTTGGGTGCAGGAGCTGTAGCGGGACTATTAAATAACACGACATATACACCGCAGAGTGACGTCAATATAAATGTGTAAGGTACTAAAGTGCAACATTCATATACCATAACATGCGACTGCAGCAACAGAGACCGATACCCAAGCGGAAGCTCGAGTAAATCACAGCTGCAGCAACCATTGGGGTTATCACTACAGAGACGACGATGATCTGTTGCTTGAAACATACTTTAGCAAGTGGCAATAAAGTCACACACATGTGCTGATTAGCCACGAACTTGATTGCGGGTGTGAAGCTTGAAAACCGGCAAAAACTGGGAAGCCACCATGACAAGTAGAAGCAACTGCGGCACAATAAGCAGCAGAATTCGTACAACATCGGTGCTTCGGGTCGTCTCAGCAATAAATTCCCATCCGCAAGCCACGACGGCCATCTAAAATATCCAGTGCGTCGTGAGTGCCAAATTCAGTACTAGTACGCAAACGACTTGTGTAGTTACTGCCACTGTCCGCGAAGGTACTAGGAGCTGCTCGTTGTATTGGGTTGCCGCGCTACCGAGGTCGACCGAGGTCAAGCGCAATAGAGTCAACATGCTCTTCGCTCCAAAGCCTAGTAAAAAGTGTTTTCTTATTTGGTCTCTGTTCTTTTTTTTAATGTAGCAAGTTAAAAATGTGAGCGTACAATTTGGACTTTCGGGAAAAAAGTAAAAAAGAAAGAGTTTCCCATTTAAAATACTCATTTATTTTTAAAATCTCGAACTGTATACTTCGAACGAGGCGATTGCAGGGCATTCTTTTTAGCCAATCCAGACGAGCTAAAACAGGTTAGAAAACGAGTTATTAATCAAAACGTCTAAGTTAGAGTATGAAGTTTAATAAATTAGACTACTTTTGCCTGTATTTTAAGAGTTGAAAGCACCGTACTCCTCCTACGTAAAAGATCTCTTTATTTTTCATTACAACTAAGGTACAATCACACCTGGCGCCTCAACCTATCCGATTCAGAATGTACCTGTGGCGGGTGGCACGATGAAAAATTTCCTTGTATGCTGCTACAGAGGATGGAAAGCGTATCGAATCGTTGTACGACGCTACACGGACGTCTATAAAACATTATCGCGATACAGTTTAGACCAGACATTCAAGCGTGACACTAACGACCGACATATCCCGCATCTTCAGGTGACACCAGCACGTATCGGTAAGCGTGGGCTTAAGCTGGGAACCAAGCCGAAACACAAGCTCGAAACGCTAGCTGAAAGAGACTAACCTTAGCCTGCTTTTCGCAGTAATTTGCGAAGCTTTCATCTAAAAATATTAATTTTCATTTTCCTTGTCCGATTTTATTTGCATTTATAGCAGAAAATCGGACAAATTTCTGTCCTTTTCAGCAGTCATATAAAAAAAAAATACTAACCCAGCAGTTCTCTTCACCGATACGCTGACAGGCTGCAGAAGAAATTCCGTGCGTGAAAGCGGAAAGTTGAAGGAAGAGATATATCTCTACAAACCGATCGCTAATAGTTAGCCGTCGGTAAATGTGCGATTTCTAATTTAGAAATAAAAAAGAAAAGATGAAGTCAAATTAGGCCAGCTCAAACTCATATTCAAGTGTTCCGTCGGCCGGCCACTCTAGCATTTACAATATCAACCGCTAATAAGAGGAAGAGGCATGTCAGAAACATGGAAAGTAGGCTCGATGACTTATTCTACCGGCTCACTATCGATCCTGTTGAAGTAGCCTCTAAACAGTATGATTTTATAAAAATAATATCTCTAAGATATTATGATGAGATTTAGGAGGTCCTGTTTAAGCCGTTATGACTGGCATTAACTACTAACACTAACGGCTATTAGTGGCTTCCAAAGACTACTTAAGCGCTCACTTCGGCTTTGACGCCTACAAATAACTTCTTCTTCTCTCTTCATCTTCTCTAACTGCCTACCGAGCCATAGGTTATGAGTCCAAGCCAAGCCTCAAGCGACGATTTCCCACGCCTCATCGGCGCCGAGAACTTCGATGTCTGCAAAACCCCTGTGTGCGCAGCACTAGATGGCAAGCACCTACTTGGCTACATGAAGCAGCCTGACTACGATAGTGTGTCTGAAGACGAGAGAGAACAGCGGCAGCGATATGTCTGACGCCAACGATGAACCGCATGACAACGCTACCAAGAACGTCGAAATCGACTCCGACGCTGTGGACTACGACGAGAGCGACGACGACCTCGGACTAGGACGAAGACTCTGGAGCCAGCTCCGATACGTCAATCAAGAGGAAGGACCTCCCGGTTGGTCGACCCTTTAACCAGCACGAGGATCGACGTGCACGCAAACGCGCCAAGAGAGAGAAGCGCCAGTCTCTTAGCCAGCGCGAACGCCGTCGACAAGAAGCCAAAGCCAAAGCCTTTTTGATGAAAACGATGGACAAGATGTACGTGCGGCTGGTCAAGAATATCACGGCATCCTACGAGATATTCGACTTCATCTGCCAGAAGCACGAGGGAGCAGCCTTTCATGGTGATCCGTACCTCATTCAACACTACTTGATGGAGCTCAAGTATTAGGAAGGCTCCGACTTAACCGAGTTCTTTATCAAGCTTGAGAACGCGATGTAAGCCATGCCAGAAGCAACAGAATCGGTGATGACCGAGGGACAGAAGTCTGTGGTGTTGGAATTCCCACGTGAACTCTAGATACAAAGGTAGTTAGGACGTTCCCACAACAATACGTCTACTAGGATAGTAAACGATCGTTCGGGCGGACCTGAAAACCCCAGTTCTACCCTTGCACCGGGACAAACTGGACCTTGTAAACTACTTACATAGGCCAACTAGTAAAAATAAGAACACGCTACTAGCACGAGCAAAGCTAGTAGGTGTTATGAATCCTCGTGGTCCCAACAGCAGAAGGGTACCAGGCACGGGTAAGCCTTTTACGAGATCACCGAGTGTTGAACACTCGGTAGGAAGAATAAAAGGGATGCAATACAAGCACTCCCAGTCGTGCAAATAGGCAACAATACGCCGTCACGTAAAAAACTCCCGATAGTAATCGGCCAATACACAAAGTCTCTTGGCCTTGCCGGATGAACCCTCGCTACAGAGCTTCGAGTTCACCGACAGGCATAACACATTCAAACAAGCTTGACCAGACGCTTACCTCGAAGCCGGACGTCGCTCTGTGTGCTTGAGTGGAAATTCTGTTCTGTATTTAAGCTTACCCTTTCGGGTCTATTCCTAATAAGAAGTCCTAATCAAGTATACAAATACCAAGTGAACAATGATCCGTTATGGATCTTCTTGCACGCCAAGCGTCGTCTGCACCGTCACATGATCATCTTTAACAGCTCTCGCCCTGTCCCAGACGGTGAACGTGCCTTCAAAGGTTCGCGGAGTCTCCGCGAACTCATCCCAACCGCCACTGATGGTTCGTACCGTAGATGGTCCGCTGAATGCGAATCCGGCCAGTCCATTATTAATAATAAGGACAGCCTGGATTCAGTGACATATGAACCGTATCCAATATCCGTTGAGAGTTCGGTATTGACGCCGTCGAGTCCCTTGCACCTTGGCGTCACCGTACATCACATGACCGAGGGTTCGTCGCTTGAACATCTTGGGCGGTGTCACGTCTATGTCGACGGGTGATAATCCGCAACTACGGAGAAATCACTACACCACAACTGCGTTATGGATCTTCTTGCACGCCAAGCGTCGTCTGCACCGTCGCATGAGTATCTTTAACGGTCCGCGTCCTGTCCCAGACGGTGAACGTGCCTTCCAAGGGTCGCTGAGTCTCCGCAAACTCATCCCAACCGCCCCTGAGGGTTCGTACCGTAGATGGTCCGCTGAATGCAAATCCGGCCAGTCCATTATTAATAATAAGGACAGCCTGGATTCAGTGACATATGAACCGTATCCAATATCCGTTGAGAGTTCG